ATTCATCAGGTCAAGGAGTAAGTATATACTCCGAAACATTGTGTCTCTCATAATGAAGAAGTTGACATCCATACATTCTCTTCTTTTGTTTGAAGTAGTTCTCATATTCATATGCCAATATGGAAACCTTTGAATAAAGCCAAGAATTTGTGGTGTATGTCGGAAACAGTCGAAAACCATTAGAACACGTTCCTAGGTCACAAAGAATGTGATTTGAAGTTAAATTACTGAAAAAAATATATATAAAATATATAAAGGAATGTATTACGTACATCATTAATTTTTTAGAATGTTAAATCTGCATACCAAATAAAAAAATGTTTGTGTCCCCTATACCACACTGCTGAGTTCCGAATACACTCTAAATATACCCCAGAATCCTGAATACCAAAAGGGGTTGCAAGCCTCACTGTCTCCCCCTCATTATTGTCGTAAACTTTCTTACAAATGACATGCATTTTAGTGTTAAGATATATCTAAAGTTTTAAACTTACACTATCTCACACTATTTCACACTATGCATTTCATTCTTCTTCTTCCGATCCTTGTGTAGAAACATCCTAAAATAAAATTTCCAGCTTCTAAGCTCATTTCGCCCAAACTCCCCTCACATAACCTTGGTGACCACCCTAACAATCAGGTCATGCATCCAAATCCCATGCATCCTGACATACATGATCTGATCACCCCTTGCCACATCATTCTCTTTCCCTTCATTCAACTGTCATTATTGGTCACTATCGACTATCACATGCAGTCCATTTTCACTTACGCACTCCCATCTTCAAATACGTCGGACAATGTATGGTTCTAGCAATCACTACTACGGACCATTCTCCCATTAACTGGATTCGTAACAGAAGACCTTGACGCTGTGGTGATTGCCGCACTCCTGAATGCACATGCAATGGTCCACACGATGACCACACATGCTAGTAGCTCAGCCAAAGTCGAGAAAGTAAAACGACCAACTATATCCTCTGCCGGCTCAAGCGAGGACTGGTCATACTTCATTTCCAGGTGGAAAGACTATGTGGAGGATACCAAGGTCACAGGGAAGGATCTTGTTGTGCAGCTACTGGAATGCTGTGATGAGACCTTATGCAGAGATCTAACACGTTCTGCAGGTGGGTCCCTGACAGACAAACCTGAAGCAGCATTATTGGAAGCCATTCAAGTCCTTGCCGTAAGAGAGGAGAACACCATGGTGGCGCGTGTTACTCTTCACAGTATGACCCAGGACCATGATGTGACTGTTCGTTCCTTTGGTGCTAGGCTTCGGGGTCAAGCTGGAGTGTGCAAGTTTGTCATTCTATGCCCAGGCTGTCACAATGAGGTAAACTACACTGAGGCTATTTTGCGGGATGTGCTCACACGTGGCCTGAATGACCCCGAAATCCAGTTAGACTTGCTTGGTGACAAAAACCAAGACATGACTCTTGAGCAGGCCTTCCAGTTTGTAGAAGCCAAAGAAGCTGGTAAGCGATCCACATCACGACTTCTTGACTCTCAAGGTGCTGAAGCAGTCGGCAGCACTTACCGACGCAGCAGGAATGCAGCTCACAGCGAAACTAAAAAGTTTGATAAAGTATGCCACTACTGTGGCAAGAAGGGGCACAGAGAGTCTGCAGCCCCCAAAATCAGAAAGAAAGAATGCCTAGCCTATGGTCATACTTGCACTGTGTGCAGTCGATCCAATCACTTTCATTCTGTGTGCCGCAGCAGAAACAAGCAAAAATTGGAGAAACCCAGTAAAACACCAGAGGAATATGAAGGTGCAATCTTTGATACACTGTGTGCAGTCACAAACCTTGGCTGGCATCGTGGTAAAAGAGCCATCACCCATGCCCACAACCTGTATCACCAACTGTCTGACACATGTATTAGACAAGCCTCTCGAACCCAGCCTTTTACTCATCTCACTGCAAAAGTTCTTGGGGAAGACTATGAACAACTGGACTTCGGACACATCTTCACATTAAAACCAAAATCAGCTTCCCTTGCCGTCATGGCTGACACTGGCTGTCAGAGTTGTCTTGCTGGTATCAAGGTTATATATCAACTTGCACTCAGGAAGCGTGACCTCATTCCTGTGACAATGAAGATGCATACTGCAAACAACGAGGGCATCACTATCCTTCTTCCTTAGCAGAGAGGCTTGCATTGCACTCAGCATGATTACCAGAAACTTCACCATGATCGGTTTAGTTAGAGGAAGCATGAGTGAAGCAGTTGACTCCACTGAGGGCATTGCGACCAAGGCACACATTGAGAACTGCCTCAGTGTAGAATGTGAGTGTCCCAGACGCAAGTTAACACCCCCCATTCCTACTAATCTGCCCTATCATGCAACCGAAGCAAACAGAGACAAATTAGAGCAGCACCTTCAACACTTGTGAGCACCAACCACTCCCCCTCATTGAGGGCCCTCCAATGAAGCTTATGGTTGACCCCGATGCTACACTAGTTGCATACCACACACCTGTACCAGTTCCTCTCCACTGGCAAGATGATGTCAAAGCTGGCTTCGATCAAGACATCCGACTAGGTGTGATCGAGCTAGTACCAATAGGTGAACCTGTCACATGGTGCCATAGAATGGTTGTTTATCCCAAGAAGAATGGTAAACCAAGACAAACTGTTGACTTTCAAGCTCTTAACACACATGCAATCAGAGAAACACACCACACACAGTCCCCATTCCACCAAGCCAGATCTGTACCGCACAGCAAAAAGAAGACTGTATTTGATGCTTGGAATGGTTACCATAGCGTACCCATTCGGGATGAAGACAAACATCTGACGACATTCATCACACCCTGGGGAAGATACAGATACCTCACTGCCCCCCAAGGATACAATGCATCAAGAGATGGTCACCAGGCGTTTTGATGAGATTGTTGCTTATGTACCTAACAAAACCAAGTGCATAGATGATGCACTCCTCTTGGCTGTAGGAGTATACCTAAAGTAATGTCCCCTACACTTAGTACTACTTCGGTTAATATAAATCTTTTGTTTGTGCAGCAAACAACAACAAACAATGGAATATAAAAACATAATTTATTTACATTGGAGACAATGGCGGGCTACCTCGGTTGCTGGTGCTAGTGGGTCTGCAAGTGATAGGATATAGAGTACCCCAAGGATTTGGATCCTGGGATGATAGCTTGTTAGTGGGTCGTATTGTTGTGGATTAATCTGAGGTCTAGGATCCAAGTATTAGTAAAGATGTACCCTTGGAGGTCGTGAAGCCCCGGGTGTTAGGTTAGGGATAGGATCCAAGTATTGGTAAAGATTTACCCTTGGAGGTCGTGAACCCCGGGTGTTAGGTAAGGGATAGGATCCCAGTATTAGTAAAGATGAACCCTTGGAGGTCGTGAACCCCCAGTGTTAGATAAGGGATAGGATCCCAGTATTAGTAAAGATGTACAGTACCCTTGGAGGTCATGAACCCCGGGTGTTAGGTTAGGGATAGGATGCCAGTATTAGTAAAGATTTACCCTTGGAGGTCGTGAACCCTGGGTGTTAGGTAAGGGATAGGATCCCAGTATTAGTAAAGATGTACCCTTGGAGGTCGTGAACCCTGGGTGTTAGGTAAGGGATAGGATCCCAGTATTAGTAAAGATGTACCCTTGGAGGTCGTGAAACCCCGGGTGTTAGGTTAGGGATAGGATCTCAGTATTAGTAAAGATTTACCCTTGGAGGTCGTGAACCCCCGGTGTTAGGTTAGGGATAGGATCCCTGTATTAGTAAAGATGTTCCCTTGGAGGTCGTGAAACCCCGGGTGTTAGGTTAGGGATAGGATCCCAGTATAAGTAAAGATGTACCCTTGGATGTCGTGAACCCCCGTTATTAGGTAAGGGATAGGATCCCAGTATTAGTAAAGATGTACCCTTGGAGGTTGTGAAACCCCAGGTGTTAGGTTAGGGATAGGATCCCAGTATTAGTAAAGATGTACCCTTGGAGGTCGTGAACCCCCAGTGTTAGGTAAGGGATAGGATCCCAGTATTAGTAAAGATGTACCCTTGGAGGTCGTGAAACCCCGGGTATTAGGTTAGGGATAGGATCTCAGTATTAGTAAAGATTTACCCTTGGAGGTCGTGAACCCCCGGTGTTAGGTTAGGGATAGGATCCCTGTATTAGTAAAGATGTTCCCTTGGAGGTCGTGAAACCCCGGGTGTTAGGTTAGGGATAGGATCCCTGTATTAGTAAAGATGTACCCTTGGAGGTTGTGAAACCCCGGGTGTTAGGTTAGGGATAGGATCCCAGTATTAGTAAAGATGTACCCTTGGAGGTCGTTAACACCCGGTGTTAGGTTAGGGATAGGATCCCAGTATTAGTAAAGATGTACAGTACCCTTGGAGGTCATGAACCCGGGTGTTAGATTAGGGTGAGGTATATGGTATGAGTTGGGGGCTACAGACATCCAAAAAGAGGTTGTGTAGCAATGGACGTGCTCCAATCGTCATATCACATTTTTGCTGTCATGCTTGTCTTAATGCTTATGTACTTGTTTTGTTGGTAGATAAAAAATTGTATTCCTGAACACTTGTGTAGTTTGTATTTAAACAAACCTCACAGTACCAACCTTGAGACACATCACTAGATTAGGAGCACTCTTATCTAGTCTAATTTTTAGCTTTTTTCATTCATGGCCTTTTGGGTCCATTACTCATTCATAGAGGGTATTATATAAGTGTTCATGTCATATATTATGTTCAATTTTTTACCGAAGAAGATGATTTTAGTGTTTACCTATAAGGACAACAAGTTGCAACAGCAGCGGAACCACAATTTGGCGAATGATGTCAACAATCTTCAGTTATCATGTTGTTTCTAGTGTGACATCATTCCAACCTCACGTCACAATATTATTTGAATGACATCAACAATGCCATCCGGATGACGGAAACAATACACTGATGTCTCGTGACATGATATGACCCTAGGGCTTCCTGATATGTTTGTAATTAATGCTCTTTTGTCTATTTGGACAGATTCCCGGCATCGGTATGATGGATATGTGTATCCCAATATCTCGGCGTCGAGGCTAGAGGCCTTTCTTAACTTCTTCAAGGGGGTCTCTCACAAGGTTCAAGAAGATGTCAAAGTTGCTGCAAGAAATTTTTGGCCATCATACAACATTATCATGTCATCTTTAGCAAAAACAACACCAGATGAGTCAGAAAGAGCAGAGAATCTTGTAAATACAGTTCAAGATGTGCTTGATGGACTTTATTGCCAAATGCCTGAAAAGAACAGAACATCTTTCAAAGCAGAGGTAGGTTTTTCCTCACTTTAATTGTACATTGTATCTTGACATTATGCACTAAAGTAAAGAAATAAAATTAATAGGACAGTAAGTATGATATGTTCAGTTGGACAATTTATAGTTTCTCAGTGCCGAGTCTGGAAAAATTCTGTTACTATTTGCAACATAAACTCAATACCAACAGATGAAGATGTTTGATGGTTGATATCATCAAACAAAAGTTATTAAAAATTATAAAATGAATTTCCTTTTTGATTAGACAAAATTCCATTTTGTTTCACGATGACATTTACCTAAACGCATCTTGCAATAATTGCATGAACGTCTCTGGAAAATGCATAAATTGTGGAACACTTTATTACCAGAAGGTTTCATGTCAATTGACTCCTTGGACACCTTGTCATCTGGTTTCAATGTGGTTTTGTTGGTTTTGTAGTTTGACCCCAAAACACCATGTCTTGTCTAACTCGGGAAAAGCAGACAAGGGCAGTGGGTCTTACTAAAGCTGTCACGATATGGCTTGAATACTATGTGAAGTTCATGAAATGTTGCCTTAAGTGAATTTTTTACAACATCTTACTTTTTCCACTGCAAATTCGTGTTTATTTTTCAGTTGTATGTATAATGCTTCATAAAATAAATACAATTCCTTTATGTATTAAAGTGTGTATCAAAACTTACATACACACAAGCAAACAAAATCAATATGTTCTGCATGATTTGCCTCTCTATTAGTAACTATATTGTGTGACCCACTGCGATATCGTTACAAATCTAATTCTTGATTATATTTATTATCACTACAGTATGGATAAAAGGGCCTGATAAGATTCAATTGCAGTACAAGGGCTGCTCAATAAGTTCTAAGCCTGACTATCTTTTAACTATGGCCCATAACAAAGTGAACTAGTGAATGTAGTACATTGTTTGAGCAGTTCAGTGCAAGTGTATTTGGCCTGTTGAGGCCGTTCTGATCTTAAGGAAAAAAGATGTGACATTGCCAGAGAAAATTTGAGCTAGTTGAGGAGAATTTCGTCAAATTAAAAAAAACATCTTAGTAACAGGTGATGAAACATGTGTCAACCACTATGATCCCAAGTTAAAACGTCAATCAATTGCATGACACCATTCCGCTTCTTCGGCACCAAAGAAATTCTAGTCTCCAAGATCAGGGAAGAAAGTTATGGCCACTGTATTCTGGGATGCAAAGGGTGTGATCCTTGTTGATTTCTTAGAAAGTCAAAAGATGATTACTGATGCCTACTATGCTGATTTGCTTCATCACCTGAGAGATTCCATCAAAGAAAAGCGACGAGGAATGCTGACTGCTGGAGTTCTACTATCTTCATGACAATGCCTCTTTTCACACCTGGGGGCACGAGTGGACCAGTCATCCAAGGCGCCGCGAGATGCGTCCCTTGGGCACGCCAGAAATCTATGATTGTCGGTTCAAATCCCGGTTCGCCCCGATTATGTTTCTAGGTTTGTCAGCACCATACCAGTGCTCATGGGTTTCACTGAAGTGGTAAACGTCTGAAAACTGCATCCCCTCGGGCTTTCCTCCCACATTAAGCTGACACGCCGTGATATAACTGGAATAATTTTAAAAGCGGCGTTAAACCCAACTCACTCACTTTTCACACCACTCTACTTGCAAAGGATGTTGTGTGACAATGTGGGTTTGAAGATCTTCCTCACCCTCCATACTTGCCAGACTGGGCACCAAGTGATTTCCACCTGTTTCCTAAACTGAAAGAAAACCTTCTTGGAAAGCGCTATGACGACAACGATGACCTCAAAGCTGCCATGAATGGGGTTTTCAGGGTGGCTTCAGAAAACTTCTTCCTGACTGGAATTGAAAAGCTTACCGTATATCGCTGTGTATAAGGTGAGTTTTTCGTACCTAAAATGAAGGGGTCGTCTTATACACGGTGTCGAAGATCTCACAATTTTTTTACTGGCGATGTCAACCGGCGTCGGATAGCCAGCCCAGCATTTGACAAAAAAACTTCGCATTTCATCCTAAATAACTGTTCCAATAACTATTTCCATACATAAACATGATTTGTATCTCTTTCCTTGAATAAAGTTTAATAATTTCTGCAAATAAAGTTGAAATAACCCTCGCTTCGATGCACATTGTCAAACCACCTGACACGGTAAAACAATCAACATCCGTGAGTAGAGAGCCGGAAGTACCGGTAAGCATTTGCATATTGCACATGTGACCTAACATGTGATAACCGGTGAAGCTGAAATCAATTCCCGCTGTTTTTACAGTTGTATTAACAAGTGTTGGAGACGGTGTGTACATGTGATTGTTGAATAAACACGCTGAATGTGAAGCAAACATAAGCCTAGTTAGTTACAACATAGTTAATTGGCGATTAAATTACTCACCATTGTCTCTTATATGTTATTACTTCATAAATGAATTTTATTTTACGGGCACCAATTTGGTGTCGTACTGTGTAAACACAAAATGGCGACGTGTGCTGGAGTTACACACGCGACCTATCATTGTAGAAAAAAAAACACGCAAGATAAACATATTTTTATTGCATATATAAGGTTTGTGTGCGCACTTGTGATGTGCTTCATTCCAGGTCGCCTTATACACAGAGTATAGGATTTTTGGTTGATTTTGAAGGCGTGTACAGGGGGGTCGCCTTATACACAGCCTATTGTCAGCTAAATTCATTAACATCACTTATTCCCTTGGTTTAGCTACTGTGAATGATTACTTCATTGCAGTTCTCATTATTACTATCTACACATATTCTCCTGCTTCAGTCCTTTCAAAACATATGTAAGGATTTAATATGATGTGACAATGATCAGGAATTTAAATACCATTGATGGCAGGACAGTTGGTCAGTGTGACCAACTTGTTCATCTGGTTGTCCATCTGTTCGTTGTTAAAATTTATATTTTCCTCTGATATTACAAGGCCTATGGAACTGAGAATATGAAATTAGATATGCAGCAAATATGTGGTATGCAGAATAATATATTTCTTATGAAACTTCTACCTCTATTACATCTTTGCCATAAATCCTGTATTTTGGCTTCAGTCACACAAATTCAAATATTTAAGATTTCAACAGACATCCTCTTCACTATCAATTACACACAACTAGTTGTTTACAAATCAAGCTATGATGTATGTAATAGCTGGAACCTCACTTCTTCCCTGTGTGTGCTAGAATCAACACCTATTATACAGTTGTAACGATCTAGCACTTGGTGTTTAGTCACATTAATCTATGATTATTTTAATAGTTTTCTATAAATAGACAATGTAAGTAGATATTTATAAGGCTGCTAACTGGAGTGACAATCACACGCACGTGAGTATAGCTGGTGTTAGGTGTTGCTGTGAGGTCATAATGGAGTCTCCCTCTACTCCCGGCTGCAAAAAGTGTGGTCGATTCATGATCACGGGAGATCCTCATCTTAATTGCACTGGGTGCAGAGGTACTCTATGTACTGAAGATGTTAGGTGTAAGCAATGTGCCAATACTTCAAAGAAAGCCTTCCAGAAGTTAGCTGAGGCTATCACGAAGGCTAAGAGTCTTGAAGCGGAAAGAAAAAAAGAAAAAAGTAGACGTCATCACGGCTAATGACACTGTTCAGATCTAGGCCTGTCGACCGATCAGCCATACGTCCAGCCGTCCAGCCAGCTGTCCGACCAGCCATCTGACCAGCCGGGTATGAGCTTACAGGCAGCTGACAGCTAGATCTTTGCTTGGGTCCCAGCAGGCTACTGCAAGGCCATACTCCCCGGCTAAGACACCTTACGGTCGCTGCTCGAACCACACGGCACCAACCGACCGACCAGCCGTCCACACAGCCGTTGGGACACTTTACGGTTACAGCAAAGACTCCATGGCTAGTTTACCGACTGTCCAGTCGATCAGCCTACCGTATGATCTTCATCGGCCACATGGACATCACAAACCGACTTTAATCATACTGGAATCCGGGACACCGGCAGATGATGAATCGCACACGGATTACGTGGTGGACTACCATGAATATCCACCTCCCACGGGAGCTACCCGCTACTCAGGCTGGCGACTCATCCCAATGGGATTATATGGCGGGATATGTGTTTGAAGAACTCATAGAAGAATTATATCACTCATGCCTGTACTCCAACCTCCTGTGACAAAATATTTGCCACCTGCAATGCCGGAATATGGGGGATGTCCACCAGACATTACTTTGGCCGAGTTATGCAGGCAAGGAAGTAGACCTTGATGTCTGAAAATCTATTCAAGCTTAGACATGATGAATGATCTGGCCGTCAGGAAGCAACTAAAGAAGTGAGCCATTCGTAGACTAGTGGAGACCAACAACACCAAGGGCTTTTAATCACTATCAAGTCAACCCAGCAAGTCACTGAGGTGGTGGATGTCTCTTCTAGGCTACTTAATGTCTCTACAGGATATGACCTTCAGAGGAAGGCTGATGCTCCGTCCTCAAACAGAATAAATTCACTACGATCCCAGACCCTATAACTCCAAACTCAGTTACCTACCAAATTAGTACAAGATCTGCATTGGTGGACCCACAGAGAACATGTGATGAACTGCATCCCTCTGACTTTTCCGATGCCCACACACCATCTATTCAAAGACGTGTCAGATTCGGGAACGATCTCAGAGCACAGGGATCTTGGAACACGAGAGAAGTTCCTGCTCACCAACTGCATATCAACTGCAAGGAAATGAAGGCCATCTATTACGCCATACTGGCATGGAAGATATGTCTATATCAATCATCCATCCTTGTAGCCACGGACAACACCACAGTAGTGGCTTACATACAGAAACAAGGAGGAACCAGATCCAGCACCCTGATGACGGACACTACACGATTGTTGGCCTTGGCAGACTCCTTCAGTTGACTAAACATCCTTGCAGACAGCCTTTCTCGCCTTGGGAGAATAGTGGCAACAGAATTACCTTACATCCCCAGATCTTTGCTTGGATAACCATGTTATG